TGTTCTCACTTTCTGTGGAAAACACAATGTGAATCAAGATGTTCACACCAATTACCAGATACCATTCATTGCATAAATGGCACTGTGAGAAAAGGGACTTGCTTCTTCCATTGTGAAAGCTTGATTTGCAGTCCAGCATTTCTGGGATGGTGTGAACTAGCTGGCTGCCCTTTCAGGAGATAAAAGCCCCTCTTACCTGCCATGTGAGATTTTAATGAGGCAGAAGATTCCTGTAGAAAAAAAAAATCACTTTTTAATTACCACTAAGGCCCATTTTCTCTTCTGTAGTCCAATAATGACAGTCTCTGAAATCAATTTAGTCCTGTGCTGTAGTATAAGAGGGAGTAGCCAACGTTTTCTCCCTGGGCTGAGAAATGAGCAAAAACCTTCCATATTTTGCACAAAGACCAAAGTCGTAAATTCTAACTAGTGCACGGGAGCTGGTCCAAACCTCTCTGAAAGAGTACGTGGATAAAACTTTGTTTGTGCTGTGCCAGTGAGGTTACTGAACTTTGACTGCTGAATATTACAGTATGATGCTTATGCTGTATATGAGATTCTAATGTCCATTTGTCATGTCTATATGTTGCTTGCATCTGCTTGTTAGGTGTGATGTAACGTTCCGCTTCCAGGTCCAAACTCCTCCAGACCCAAATGGTGGAGCCTGTCACTCTCTACACAATAACATCTTTTTTAGCGATGCATCACTCAGAGTAAAATTCTTTCGACTCAAATAGAGCACTCAGTGCAGCCGCTCTACCTGGTGGCATAGAAACCAACATTGATCACGTCGCAGTAAATTTAGTCCGATATATTTGTGTTATATGCCTAGCTTGTTTTTAATAGATCCCAGCTTTTACTGTTATTTTCATCTGTGTAAAATGTCAGTATATAGTGTTTACGTTAACTTTGTGCTAACTAGCTAGCTACATTATGAGGCGGAGTGCCTTTAGAAGCTTTACACAACAGTGCAGCATATTGAGGGCAGATCGGCCCCAAAACATTTGTACTTTCCCTCCTATAATGCAAGAAAAGGTTTGGTCTGTCACGGTACTGACACAGGTACTCACACATTCTGTAAACTTCACAAAGTGCCAGTTACTAAAGTCAGGTGCTCAGAAAAGAAAAGAAAAAGAGAAAATGATAGTAGAGGTGCAAGGGACTTTATGGCCATGTATTTAAAAATGTACTGAAGTACATCTACAGCCCTACCAAATATTAATCAAGAGCAAGGTGAGACATCACTTTGGCTTAAACAGGCACAGCTACCAATAGCTACCACTGAGCTTTACCTTTAATGTCCAGTTATTAGCTTGTGTAAAAGCCTAAGACAACGTGTCCTCTGACAGCAGCAGCTGAGTCTGGGGATGGTAGCTGTGTCAGAGAGGAGAGACAGATGAGGACAGACCCAGCCTGCAGGTGAGAGCGTTGTGGGGGGAGGCTAGCTGTGCTGGGGGGAGAGGGAGGGAGACGATGCAGGTTTAACATCCCACTAGTATATTTTTTCATGTAAACTGACAAAGTAGCCCGTGTTCAGATGATTAAATGATTTTTTTTTATCAGTTTTCCATCTCTCTATGATTGAATTTTGGTGGTGGGGCTACAGTTATACTTTTAGTATACTTGGATTAAGTGTGGCCATGCTTGTATATACTGTCAGTAAAGTTGCTTTGTAATGTCATCAAATACTCTAATAATTGCTTTGTGGAGGTGAGACTGTTGCAGCATCAAAGGTAATATAAAGTCAAAAGAGAAACAAATGCATGAATGCATAAAACCTTAAGTGTTGCCTTTGGATCAGACAGGCTCCTCTCAACTCTCTCATTTGAATAAAGAGAAGGAACAAATGCAGTACGGATCTTAAAATAATCCTAACATCCTTCCTTGTTTACTTCCGCCAGTCCAAACACAGTGGCCCTCTTGCAGTGTGATGGCCGCTCAGGGGATCTGCCCTCCAGTTTATGCATTCACACAAACCTGTTGCTGGCTCTTTACAACAGCCTCTTACATAATAAATGTGGAACATAGCAGAGGGAAAAACATTAACCCTGACAACAGCTCAAATCACTGTATATAATACACGCGCCAAAAGAAGATTCGTTGCTCTGTTTGAAAAATCATCTGGATTAATCTGGATTAAATATATAAACATAAAACATCATTTTGTGCAGCAGAAATGGTCGTAATGATCTCAGCAAACCCAGATTTATTAAGGCTATCACATTCTTAACATTTACAGTATGACCATCTTAGGTCATATGTATAGGTTGTTATAAAATAAGTTAGTATGCCATTTTAATCCTATTTTTGGGGAGAACTTGCATAAAAATGCTGACAGGTTTCAAAACTATGCACATTTATTTTGATTACAAGTCCCAAACATCAATTGTACAGATCTCCTGTGGTTCCAACAAGGGTTCAGCCGATGAACAAATTCACCAAGAAATTAAGAGTAAAATTACTCTTTCCTCCCCAAATGACCATTTACTGTATATATACACTGGGCTGGGAAATGTAATGCAATAAAGACAGTTTTCCTGTAGAGCCAGCTGCCGGTCTAGGCAGTTTATAATTGTTAGGAATTATAAATTAAACATCATCTACCCTCGTGGTCATATTGGGGATGCTGTAAAATTAAATATGGGGTGATGTATATTAATGATGAAGTATATTAAAATCTGCAATGCTGCATATTAATATTCCTGGTATTGTTTGGGATACACTATATTTCTGCCTCCCAGAGAAGATGTCTTCTCCAGAGGATTGGACCTGAAATCTGGCTTAAAGAGGATGAGATGAGATGATGTTACTGAGAGTATTTAAAGCTCACATCAACTCCATCTGCATCTGTCCTAGGGGGCCACCTAATAGTGCTGCAAACACACACAGTAGTTGTTCTCACTGAGGGCGACCTCAGTAGGATTCAAACTCACCAGCAGAGTTAGAGGCATGCTCTCACCACACACTGAACTACACATGAACTTCCTTCAGAGATACGCAGGGCCATAAATGCAGACATTCAGCTTGTGCTCACTGCTCAGAGCACAGACAGCCTCAGGATACTGTTTGAGTTGAGGATGCACAAACAGAGTTGACACAGGTTTCTGCTGTTCTGTTGCTGAGGCTGGAGCAGCTATTTCTGGACAGGCTCCTATGATTCATCGGTGGCTGTTTGGAGGTCTAACATGTTAAGATGTGTCACTGTGCTAATTGTCACTCTGACTTATCCTAAGCCCTCTGCAGCCCCTGAGCTCTCTTCTGACATCAGATAATTCTGGAAATAAACTAAGCAGAGAGAGCAGGTTGTGTAGACCTCAGGGATGGAGAACCTGGTTTGCCCCTCTTGACCTTCAGCTACAGATGGACCACAAATGTTTTTGATACTTTTCTAAACATAAAAACCTGATTTTTCTTTTTTGTACATCGTCACGTCAGATTTCAGATCGATGACCAAAAAATACTCAAATTCTTTATGCATGTGTGGAAACTCTATTTCTGACACGCTTTTGTTTACTTACCACTGATGTTAATTGATGTTGACTTTATTCTAGCAACTACAGCCATCACATGCATATAAACATGGACCATCTCTTTTTGATAGATGACAGACTAGTAAAATAAAAATAGGCCAACTCAGAGTACCTCCAACCTGTAGTGAAGTGTGGTTCTTGGTTAAATGTACCTCATCCTCCACCAGACATCTACTGGGAATGAGCAGGGTCATGAATATATGAATGCACTTTCTCCCAAAGCCTGAATATTCAGGGATGAGCTGTCATCAAACTGAACCTTCTATAGCTTCTCTACCACTGGCAGCCCTGACAGGAAACAAAATTCAGTGGATAGTAGTGAGCAAGTGTTTGTGGTTCATAAACAAAATGAACGTTTGATTCAGCAATGATACACTACTCAGTGTTGTAACAAAGCCTTTTTATGCACATTTACATCTCAGCGTTTTTCAGGAGACTCAACATTTCCATTTTGGGTATGAAAACACCAGCTGGTATAATCTCCATCACGATTATGTGCTGGTATAAATCACCAAGGATATCTTACTTAATGTTATTTTTTGTGGTCACACCTAGTTCTCTTTCCATAATAATATCCAAAGTATTCATCTTAATTATGTATGCTGGGGGCAGGTATGTGTGATTAGGATATGAATATGCATATAAACATCTTAACCCAAATATGCTGGTATCCACAAGATAGTCTCCGTGTGACTGTGCTCATTGGTGTGATGTCATTTTCACTTAAGATGTGCAATCAGTGTGACTTAATAGGCCCACCGTGCACGCTTGTGATTGTAAACAGACAGACATTTGTCACACTGCGTCTTCACTGATTAATGTCACCATATCAGAACAATTTGTGGAGGCTGGGATTAAACACATTAAGCATTTTCAGCATACTGTACAGTATATTATAAGTTTTATAAGTTAAAATCTGCATTGTAGAAGTAACTAGCAATTATGGAAGTAAAATATGAAGTGAAGTAAAGAGGCAACATTTGCCTCTGGAGTATAAAGTAGCAAAAAAAAAAAGAAAACTGGTAAATGTAAATAAAACACGGATCACTTTTACTCGTTTTGGTTATTTACCAGTAGTGTCATTCTCAGTCAAACAATTCTCAGAACCGACCAAAAGAAGAATGAAGCGTTCTAATCTGGGTCGAGGGTTTTGCAGAGGTTCCCCTGTCAAACTGAAGGTTGGTTCATTTTTCCTTGCCCTGTTATCTCTCCCTCGACTGTACAGAAGATTCAAGATTTTTATTTGCCATTTATGCATAAACAGACAGTCTAGGCATATAGGAATTATTGTGCAGCAACAAAAGCATTTTTTACATAAAAGTTAAGGCAACTAGGCTCAAAGTTTATCCTGTTTGTCACTGACTCTCTTCCAAACCTGGAGCATCTACCCAGCTCCTAAATGTTTTATTATGATTTTTATCGTCCCCTCCCAAAGGGGAGCTTCAATTAAAAACGTTCCCATAAAATCTTATTATGGCCTCCAGGTTCGAGGGCTCAAGTCCTTGAGCCAGTCTCATCTTGGGCTGTATTCTAAATAGGATGCACTTTGTTGAATCCAGAGATCTGTCCGTCTGTGCCACGCATGCACTGCTGGAGCGCACCAATCCAGTCGCACCGCCCTCCTGTCCGCCTGCTGCCGGGAGGAGCAGAGGAGGGAGCACACCGGAGCGCAGTATCAACAGTCACGCTACCTTAGGGATGTGGCAGCTTTCGACAGCTTGAAATTTCCCGTGAAATTCTCAAAGTTTGTCTTGTGAGAGAGCTGAAGGCGGAAAACAAAGCACAACGCGAGAGAACAAATCGCGCGGAGGTGCATCCGCCGCTGCAGACGTTTCCAGTGGTGCCTGCCCGCCCGCCTGGGCTGTCGTTCGGCATCGCGAAGCGCGTCGGAGCCGGTGTCCGAGCCAATCTAAACGATCAGAAGACAAGAGAGACAGAGAAAGCGAGGGGAAGCCGTCCTCTTCTTCACATATCACCTGCGTTTAGAGCCCCGCAGTATCTGCTGATGTGGAGGTGAGTGCCGATGTGATGCTGACTGGTTTGACAGGGAGCTGAGGTGATGGTGGCTGAAGGACTTACAGGTAAGGGCCACGTGGTTAGGCTGATAACTGTAGCAGCACCATTGGTCTGATTCTTATCGAGCTCTGCACAGTGTATCCATTACCAAGATTGAGCCCCAGTCATAACTTTCAGCGCGTTCTGGTCCCCCTCACAGCATGTGGGGCCGAGTATCTGGTTAACATCTCAGGTGCAGTAAGTTACACTCAGTTTCTATTCAAGCCCATAGGCAGAATGACAGGGGAAGATTTGTACATAGCCCATAGCTCCAGTGAAGACAGCAGGAGGCATTGTTTGTCTAAATGAAACCTTTAAGGATTAATAGATCACAGCCAACAGTAATAAATACATGTGATTTATAAGCCACAGTTTCAGACTAACTAAGCCAACTTGTTTGTATTTTTATATTTGGTGAACTTGTGCTTCACGTAGTTAAAACACTGACAGAAAAATAATCAACATTTCAAACGGAGTGAAAATTCTGCAAATGTGAGGATTTACTCCGTCTTGTGTAATTAGAAACATCTTTGGGTTTTAGACTGCTGGCTGGACAAAACAAGCTATTTGGAAACCGCCACCTTGAGATTACAGTCCTGTCTATCCGTTTCATTTCAGAAACACTCTATACCAATAATGAGAGTAATCATTAGCTGCAACTCCATGGTCAACCAAAGTACTACACATCCTACAAAAGTAACACAACCTGCCACTGGTGGAGTCCAGGTCTCCAAACATCACAAGGCGCAGCTGTAATAACAGAACAACACACCTGGACAGCAACTAAAAGAAGCACTTTGTTGTGCTGTAGATCTTTTTTTGACTCTGTGATTAAACTGCTGCCTTCCTAACAGAGGCACAGCATGAGAAAAAACTAATATCTGAAATGAGTTTAGTCCATGAACGCTGAACTGAAACTGTAACAGTAACGCATCACCTAAGGCGTGCACTGTCCTTAAAGCCGCCGAAGAATTGCATCATCTGCTGGGGCTGCTCATGTCCTGCGGTGCGAGTGACAGCTCTATGGCTCATCTGAAAAGCCTGTAGCAAAACTGCAACTCATTACAAGTGCAGCGGCTCAAGCTTCCTCTGGCAGGAGGCTGCTGGCTCATTAGGGGTCACCGAGGGGCGAGCCTCCCCACTATGAGCCTTAGCTTGTTACCAGAGCACTCTGCGAAACCACTGTTAATTGGAATGAATCCATTTTTACTGACATATTGCAAAGACTTACATGAGTCAGTAAAACTGCCTCTGTGCTGTTGAAAACTCACTGTTGTGCTGGTGATAATTTTTAGCTTAAAAATGTATTGGCAGTGAGGCCTTGAATTAGTCAGACTGACTGTCCACAGAAGCAAGTTTGATCCTCTCAACCCCTCACATGTCATTGAAACTGGCACTGAATGGTCATGCTGTGCAGGGGATGCCTGCTCCTGACTGGCCCACTCAGTGTTTGCTTTAAAAAGAGATTAGGAAGCAGAACATTCATGACAACACTAAAATCCATCACAAAGATAGGCACCAGCATTCTGCCACAGTGGTTCCAGGGGAAAATATGGATATATTCCTGGAGGAAAAATATTGATAACTATCAAAACAGACCCAGATACTGATGTTTTGCAGACCCACCAAGCTGCTCATTGCTGTCAGAGGGGCTAAGGTCTCTTTGAGCTATGATAAAGGCATGATCCCTCACTGGCTTCCCATCCGTGACACAGTCATCTGTTCATTTCATGCTGAAGATGGGCCAGAGTTTGTTCCACTGGTTTGTTTCTACAGTGAAAAAGCCTGCAGCTAAAGTAGAAAAAGGATGTTTTCATTTCATATATGACTAACATTTACTTTCTACATTCCATGAGGTTAACACGCAAATGGTTATCTTTTACACTTGCAATAATATTTAATGACATTTGTGAAGAAATAGGTGTTGGCAAACATTTACATATGAGGTCCGTGCTTCAGAGAAGTGAGCCAGTCCTTCAAAAAACAGATCAGGTGCAGAAAGTCAGTGGAGTGGAGAAGAGAGCTGCAACCGACAGTCCAGTGGACACAGGCGCACTGAGCAGAATCACAACCGCCCTGTCCGGGTGCACTGTTTGCACTCTATTGCACACTTTTCCCAACTAAACACGACTCGGCTTTTAGCTAAAATTAGTCATACTTCACATTCATTTTTGTTGTTGTTTTTTTTTTATAGTCATTTATCTTTCAAGCAAGAAGAGGCTTCTGTTGAACCTGTGTGCTTACGTAGAACAAAACCTAAAAAGCTCTAATCCTTCATACTTTTTGAATGGAATCACACGCATGCTTATTTCTGTCTCCTTGCCACAGTTAACACAGACATGAAAATGTTGAAGTGAAGACACTTTGTCTTTTTTACCAGTCAGGTCTGGAAGATAACTTTGCCCTTGTGCCATATGAACCCATTTAAGGAGTTTAAGTCATTTAAAAAGCTGAAATGATATCAGCAGATTTTGTCAGTTGTTAATAGGAAAATTTTGTCTTTTTTTTTTTTTTTTTAAATAAAATTTTTTGCAGTGCGTTGAACTTTTAGCCGCCTGGAGACTGATGAGTGCAACAGCATCCACTCAGGTAGTCTGGGTGGCTGCTCACTCGATTTTCCCGTGAAAGGTTAGACAAATGCCACAAATAATTGTCAGTCTTCCTCTTGACCACACTCTTACCCCCAGTGTCTTACCATGTTGATTATCTAAGGTGGCGTGGGCCACAAATGTCTCGGCAACTGGAATCTATTGGGCAGCCGCTGAGCTTTGCTGTGACACGAAGAATGCGAGCGGTGGAGAATGAAGGCTGCTTCAGTCATAGTGGATAGTCTGGTCTATGTTCAGCCGCTGTGAAGAGAAACCTTACTGAATGACCAGGTTACAGGCCGACTTGCTGCTCGGCTGAATTAGAGAATGGACCGTACTGTACAATCAGCATGTTTAGCTTAAAGCCACCATTAGCAGCAGGAGATAAAACACTCCGTGCATGAATCCAGACTGTATATTCATGCAGTTGGAGGTCAGATGCTTAGCTGGTTCAGTGAGCACAGTGATGCAAAGCTTGAATATCATGTTTGTTAGGGGGGGTCTCAGCCTCTGGGTATAATATTCAGCTCCATATGCTCAACAGAAGCTTTTCTTCTACCTCAGGAAGACAGAACCAGCCGTAGTTATGAACCTAATGTGTTTTATTCGAGTTCACCTTGAATGCCAGCATCTGTTGTTGAAGATTGAGGAGTTACTTTTATAACCTGAACTTTTTTTTTGTTGATGGACTAAAAGAAACTCAGCATTCATTCATTCAGGTGCAGTTTTCCTCTGACTTTACCTTCATTTTTATAAGCCATTAAAAATTTACAGTAAGTAACATATGTAAATGTAGTCAGCCACCAACCTGTCAACGGATAGAGTACTACTTTGTGCTAATGGACAGCAGGAAGATGGAACAGCTTGAATTTCACCACTTTATGTAGCACGCCAGTGATGGTAAGGTGAATGTAAAATGACGGCTTCAATAAAGGTGAAATTAATGGTCTGTCACTACCTGGAGAAAGTTATAAAATTGAATCAACTCTTAGCTAAATACGTAACAAGTCTCTCTTTTACATTTGTGAATTTAAATGCATCACTTACTGAAATGTAAACATCTGTGTTTCCCATGTGCGCCATCTCATCTGCTCCTTGCTTCAGTTTATAGTGTCCCATTGGCGCTGTAATAAAACTCGTACATTACTGTTTGTTAGCAACCCTTTCACAATATTACAGTTCAGCTGGTGTCTTATATTATAATTCATGGTGCGGCTGACCTGGGATCAGGGTGTGGAAACCGATTACACTGGTCTGGAGTTTGATTTTGAGTTTGCTGTACCTGATTTTGCTGAGGAATGATTATGATTGTGCTCACATTTATACTATTTTATAACGATATATCTAATAGATTGGATAATAATATCATTTTTTAAAGAACGGGCAGCAGGACCTACTGAAAGGTCCAAGACGCCTGCTTAAATGGGGGATCGAACCTAACTCATGGGAGTCTGAAGCAGGACCATGAACTTCTGGGACATTCGTGTTTACTTCAGTGCATACAGTTTTTAGAAGGATTTACATTTGTAACTGGTCATTTTAGGGTAGTGTGGTCTAAGACCTTTTCATATTTATGTGCTGTGCTTGGTGTACTTAAACATTATTACCAGGTTTAAATTTTGTATCCAAATAAAGAGGAAACCTCACATGGCAGACAATGGGGCCTTATACTAATTAGTGCCTTCTAACACCTGCAGTTCTAGCAAGTTTGTACCTAAAAATCCTGATGTCCCTCCTTAAAGCAAGTTTATATTCATTTCCAACTTTAAGAAATTCTACAGCTGAACTTCTTGTTGAGTTTATTTACCTTCTAGTGAGCTGACTGTGTTCTTTATACTTGTCCAGTGATTCAAAACTACAGTTTTGTTTTGTGAATCAGTGGTGGGAGAAGTAATCAGACCCTTAACTGAAATAGCAATACTGCCGTGTAAAATATCCATTACAAGCTCTGCATTCAACAATTTACTCAAGTGAAAGTGCATAAGTGTTATCAGCCAAAATGTTTAATGGATCAGTAATAACAACCTGACGATAATTGCTGAGGTATTAATGTGTAAGCAGAATTGTACTGGAGTATCTGGCCGAGGTGGATTTTGAACACTAAGAGTAGTTAAACCATAATAATGTGGCACACTTTATTGGATGAGCATATGTTCTCATTAAATAGTAACTCCAGCTGTCAAATAAAATTGGTAGTAAAATATACAGTTATTTCCCTCCTGGAATTTAGTGGACTAGAAGTATAAAGTACCTAAAGAGGAAACTGTGAACTTCCTGCTTGTGTTAAACAGAATATTTCAACCATCTGTTGGACAAAACAAGGCATTCAGGAACGTCATTGTGCGCTACTGGATTTTGTGATGAGCATTT